TCCTGTAACTAAGTGGTGTCCCAAATTTTCTGATCAAGGAGATTATGGGGCCACAAGGAAAGTGATCAATGATGTAGAGTGTGCCTAAGGAGAGTCAGCTAGAGAGAAAAAAATTCTCTTAGGCTTTTACAGAGAGCAAATAGGTCAAGCAATGGCCATGACTTAACCCAGACAGCTAGCACTAACAAAAGATCTACAAACTGCTGTACATGGTTCCAGGGTAAATCCTGAGGGGATTTGACTGACCTTGTCAGATAGCAAAAGTTACATTTTTAGTTATATAGGTCTTGCTTTAACTTGGTCTTAACCATCCAGCAGAAAAGTATAAAAACAAGGTATAAAAAGTAAAGCTATATTAATATGCTGAGCTGTAAAAGGCTCAAGTCACCAACCTCAGACAATTGCCAGTTGTGCTGATAACTCACTACTATTATGGACTATTGAATTATATTGGATATTTTGCTGAATTCAAGTACCTATAATCTTTGAACTGGCATCAAATATGAAAAGGTCCTCTAAAGACTTCTCCAAATACAGCTTCTCTAACTTCAGTGACACACCCATCTCTGACAAAACAAAACAAAAAAGGGGGATATAAATAAAGGGCCATTTTGTTCTGAAAAAAAAAAAAAACCTTAAATTAATTTATTTAGTACTGTGTCTTACTATGCAGCTCAAACTCATAGTGATCCTCCTGTCTCAGTCTCCCCAGCACTGGGATTACAGGTATGCACCACCACACCCGGTTTCAGTGGCCAACATGGTACATGGCAGGGCAATGTACCGGGGATCAAACCCAGGTCCTTTTGTGAAGTAGGCGCTTAGACTGCCAGACTACCTCCCCTGCCCCTGTGATTTTTAAAAGATCAAGCATTCACTGTATTTTTCGATCATGCCTTGTACATGAAGTACCTTGCACATAGTAGAAACTATTGTTTCCCTCCCTTTTAAATCATTTGCTCTCATGAAAGTGGTATTACTTTATTAGAATGTTATAGAATCACTATCTTAAAAATGTTACTTACATTTTTGCAGATTCAGTGCAAAATAATAAAACAAGATAAAAACCATAGAGTTAAATACATTTTTTAAAAATTCACACCTATTTATCAAATTAGTCACATAATCACCCAGTAAAGAAAAAGAGAAGTAAACCTTTGTATTATAATACTGAACTATACACTGTCACAGGTATATTCTAAAGAGCATAAAAGGATAGAAATGTTTTGTTGATAGTATGGTTATAATAATTCTACAATTCAAATATATTTTAAGTTGAGCAAATGAGTAAATACTACAGTGTTGCTGGGAGTTGAGGTATTTGTAGTGGAAGAAAGGAAGTAGGAATGGGATGAAAGAAAAATAATCCTGTGAGCTTTTTAAAAAATGGAATTAGCAATCAAGACATGAATTAATGATTTAAATATATATATATATATATATATATATATATTCATCCAAATGATGACGCCTTGTAATTAGCATAGTTGATCTTGGGTTTCTAAATAGTTTGTCACCAAAAGAATTGAGAGCATGTAGGAGAAATGCCCAGCTCCAGAGCTATGCAAGGAAATCTTTCTATGTCAGAAAATAAGGGCATGTGCCAAAATTAATGTTAGTTCAGGAAGACACAGACACCAACTCTAGAGGCCAAATCTGGAACAATGAGTCTCAAAATGAATGATAAGGGGTTGGGGAGATAGCTCAGTTGAATAAGCACTTTACCTGGCAAGCACAAGGGTCTGAGTTCAATCCCTGGCTGTTCCAAAAAAAAAAAAAAAAAAAAGAAGAAAATAAATAAAAGTAAAATAAAATAAAATAAAATGAATGATGATAGTAAAGAACATAACATTAAACAACAGAACAACTCAGCAGTATACTCTGACCCAAACAAGAAAAATGGAGAGCAGAAAAGAAGCACTTTATAATGTCACCTAACAGCTGCAGAAGGGATTGTAGGGTTAGAAAATCACCATAATATAAATAATAATTGTTTCAGCAAGCATTATCAGTTACTGGCTTAGTAATCATTGAGAAACAAGATATTTATACAATCTTGGATCCCATCCAGTTAATTTTTTAAATAAGAAAGAACAACTTTACATTGGAGAAATTTGTTATATACCAACTTAAACACATGATCAAAGTTAACGTCACTGGTATTGAGACAAACTACCATGTACCTTTGGAGATGATGCATTGAGAAAAACATGTAGAATTGCTTCTGGCTAAAACATCGTAAATAGCATCTGATCATGAAAAAACAGAACCCACGTTTAGTATTCTGCTTGGGCCAGCCAGATGGCTTAGTTGACTAAAGCGCCTACTTAGGCAGGGGCAGGGACCAGGGTTTGATTACTGGCGTGCCGTGCTGGCCCTGCCCCCAGGGCCCACTAGGTTGGCAGCTGAGACTGGGCATGGTGGTGCATGCCTGTAATCCCAGAGCTTAGGAGGCTAAAAACAGGAGGATCACTACGAGTCTGATCTGTGTAGTGAGACCCTGTAGACCCTGTAGTAAATACTTTTTTGGGGGGCCGGGGAGATGGCTCAGTAGAATAAGCGCTTCCCTGGCAAGCGCGGGGGCCTAAGTTCAATCCCTGGTTCTGGGGGGGGGACCTTTTTTTTCTCCATAATTTTATTGAGAAACAAATAGCAATGAGACAGTTTCTAATCAAATTGGTAGGAGAGTTTCAATAATTAACACATTGCATACTCTCTTCCTAGTGGTTATTTGCTGTACAAGATGCAGACATGCTCTCTCTCTCTCTCTCTCTCAAATAAATAAAACAATTAAAAAAAAATTTAAAAAAAAAAAGGGCTGGAGAGATGGCTCAGTGGTCTAAAGCACCAACTTGGAACAAGCTTGGCAAAGCACAGGGACCGCGGCTCGATCCCCCAGCACCACATGCCAGCCAGCCCCGCCCCCTGGTGGGCTGAGCTGGCCACACACACACCACACACACACACACTCTCTCTCTCTCTCTCTCTCTCTCTCAAATAAATAAAACAATTAAAAAAAATTAAAAAAAGATGCAGACATGATATCCTATTTACAAACACTATTAAAACAAATCCCTCTATTCATTAAGAGAATGTAACTATATATCTATCCTAACCATTTTGAATACACAGATACAAAATAGACATTCATCTATATCCCCTTTTTTGTTTAGTTTCGTCATTTGAATATATGTGTGTTAACTCAGCAAAATATTCTAAGAGTCCAGTAGTTGTAGTAAATACCTTAAAAAAAATTTTTTTTTCTCTGAATTTAATATATACTGCTGGTCTAAGTAGTTGTTCTTGTTCATAGCTGAAATGTGCTAAAGAATTTAGGGGGAAGATTATCAAATTTATTCTCAAGTAGTTTTACAAAATTATTGTGAGTAGGTTAACAGCAGATGGATGTAAGGGAAGAATATGCCTAGGTGTTCACTGTATTCTTTTTGAAACTTACTGCTTTTAAAGTTTTCAAGTGAAAATAAAGCAGTTTGGAAAATTCAAGAAGAATAATATAGAAAAAAGATTATAATCTCACCATTCAGTGATAAACTTTATTAATTTTTTGAAGTATTTCCTTCTATTCATTTCTGTGATATACTAGACTTTGATAAAAGCTTAGCTCAAAGGAAGAAACAAATTTCCCCTCAAACTTAAGACAGCAATAAGAATTTTAAAAATAAAAAGGAATGTACCATTCTTGAGATACTGTTTGTTTTCTTCCAGGAAACTGGTATCTTTGGCAGTGTTAATGCTCCACTCCTGTTCTTTACAAGATTAAACCAGATTCCACCTAAAACTGTATTCTGAGTTGAATGGAAATCAATCTGATTTGAAGCAGCTTTCATTGACCCATTATGGCATCTGTAACTCTACTTGGCTCTAGTTCTTTTTCTGATGGCACACAGCAGGACTCACGTGTCTCAGCTAGCCATTTCAGCTACAGGAAAATCAGATATTTTGTCATTTAAATACCTCATTTGTATGTAAGAAATCTGAAATACCTGAAATCAGTACACCAGATGACTCAAAGGAGGCATCTTGCCAAATGTTGCACTGGCTGGTAGGAACTTGAAAATTAAACTTTTACTAGAGGTTAAAGAAAGAATCTCTTTAGGGTAACAATAAAAGTCATTCATTCTTTATTTTTATATAATATGTCCTCAGTAGAGAGCCTGGTATACAGTACTATAACATGGTATTTACTATGTGCCAGGAACCATTCTGCCTGTTATTCTTTCAGTCTTCTACATTTTCATCCAATTCTCTTCTAGCCTCAAAGCCTTAATGATTTTAAGACAGTTTCTAAAAATCCTTTTCATTTTTATTTTCAAAATATTGGGTGAATCAGAAGCATTAAGTGGTAAGAAAAAAGGACTAAAATTTCTTTTTTTGGCAGAACCGGAGATTGAACTCAGGCCCTTGCGCTTGCCAGGGAAATGCTTATTCCACTGAGCCATCTCCCCAGCCCCTCTGAGCCATCTCCCCAGCCCCTTTATTTATTTTTTTTTTATTTTTATTTTTATTTTTTTTTTTTTGTTTTGTTTTGTTTTCAGAACGGGATTGAACTCAGGCCCTTGCACTTGCCAGGCAAGTGCTTATTCTACTGAGCTATCTCCCCAGCCCCAAAATTTCTTTAATGGAAGAACTTGTAAAGAATAGAAATCAGTATTAGTTACTAAAGTGCCAGTCTTTCTGATAGGTACTTAACATATAATTGCATTTAATCTTCACAGAAGTCTTGTAAAGAAGATTATTATAGATTTACAGCTGAAAAAACAAATGCTGAAAGCTGGCAAAACTGCTATGTACCTATGTTGTCCGCAGTACTGCCAGGTAGTGGAATGGAGATCACGTTAGTAAAATCTGTCTGGTTTTGGATCTTGATTCTGTTTTGCTTTTTTCCATTATACATTGCTGCTGGTTTGAACTAACTTTTCTCTTAACATGTTGAGCTTTAATCACAGTGAATGAGTTTGTTTGTTCTCTCTCTTTACTAGGCTTTTCGGATGTGGATCATACCTATGCTCAAAGAACTCAGCTCTTTGACACCTTAGTAAATTTCTTTCCTGACAGCATGACTCCTCCTAAAGGCAACCTGGTAGATCTCATCACACTGTAACTGAAGAGTCACTAGCCACACAAGTGGAGAACAGTAGTCACTTTCAGTGTTTGGATCACAACTCTGTTGACTGAAGTGAAGCTGCAGTGACTGAGGACTGCACCAGAGTGTTGAAGGGATCTTTACCATCACAAGTTTTAACCCTCTTCCTTCGTACTTGACCTCAACCCCATTCTCATTTTATTCCTAAAGTAGGCTAATAAAGTGAAATTGGTATTCTTTCCATTTAAATATATATTTTTCTTATTTTAATTTTTGGGAGTTAATGAGTATAAAAAATTAAGCTGTTTATCTTTTTGTAGTTTTTCATTTCTTTTAAATTGGAAGAACAGCACTACCAACAGACTCAGAGTGCTACAAGAATTTGGGATTTTGTTGCTGTGTAGTTTTGCCTTTGTTTCCTCTTCCCTTTCACTGTACCTCACAGTGACAGCTGCTTAGGAGTGGTGTCAGTTAGTAGACTTCTTCATTCTTAAACAGGGATATAGTTCTGTAGGACAGTTGATGTATGTTAAAGTGATATATGTGGTTGACTTGTTTTATATTACATTGAACAATAGACAAGACAGAGGCTCAAATTTGCACCTATTGTCATAAAACTAAAAAATGGAACTCAAGATTGGCCAAGACACCCTATCACAGATTGGTATATAATGTTTTATGTTATATTTTATAGTAGATAATACAGTAGCAGTTGGCTTTCACTCACAGAAACTGATACTAAGAGGAGTCATTCTAAAAATGGCCACTAGGAAAGATCCAGTAGTGATCAATATGTTTGTTGATATCTTTGGAACAGTTCTGAAAGAAATTGACTGCTCTGGTAGAGCTGTTTAAAACCAGGATTCTCATTTCTCCCATGTGCTCTTTTTAGCAGTTCATTTGGAGGCATGTGGGAAGTATTCATTCATTCTTTTCGTACATCTCCTCGATCTATTTCTGAATACTGATATGTATGAAGAGGAATGATTTGTGATTATCCAGTGCTCTATAACTGACAGTCATGTCATTAAGCACCATAACCAACGTTTTTTGTTTTTCTGTTTTTTTGTTTGGTTGGTTGGTTTTTTTTTTTTTGTTGTTGGCCGACAGGACCAGCACAGCATGTGGTGTCAGGAATCAAACTGTGGTCCCTGTGCTTGCCTGCGCTTGCCTAAGCAGGCACTTTAGAACACTGAGCTATCTAGCCGTGTGCCCCCCCCCCTTGAAATAGTGAAGAAAAAAAAGCTAAAGGTACAATTTTTTTTTAATTAAATAGAAAGGTTTATAAGATGGGCTTTTCCATGGTTCCATTTTTTGTGTAGATATAGATCTTCTAATGAGATGCTGTGGAATGTAATATAAGAAGCCTAGATCTGACTAGTGTTCACATGTGCTCAAAAGGTATGCTTTATGACACTACGTTGATAGCACATTCTGTATGTTCTTTTGTCAGCTTTTATGAGTGATTGACTTCATGGGATTGAGTATGTCCCTGAGTAGTAAGATTAGGCTTTACCAGGGAGAGCTTGTTGTACACTTCCCAAAAGTGTTATAAGAGTAAGACTTTGATATATCTTTTCACTTTGTTTTTATTACTTGGTTTTACTTCTTTTGGGGATGGACAGAATATATTTCTGCTAGTTCTAGATTCAAGTTGTGGGATACTTGACTTTCCAGAGCAATTAATAGTGATTTGTTAGATGTTTAGGTCTGTACCTTGTAAAACATATCCTGTGTAATCAGCAAGTACCAAATTGTATAGATGCATAATAGCCAGTTGGTTATACAGCTGGATAGTCCATTCTGTTTGCAGACCAGTACAATTTTGTAAAATGATTATTCTCAGTGACAGCAAAGAACATAAAATATATCACTAATATGATAGCCTGTTGGATTTTATTTTATGGAGACAGATACAAATCAGAATGTTGATAAGGAAAAACTTAAACTTGATAAATCATCAAATGTAAGAACTCCAGTTTGTTTACTGTAAATTTTAGCACTTTAGCAACATTAACCAAGTGAAATTCTTCAGCCTTTACCTGTTCTTATGGTGATTTCTTTGTAATTTTTCATCAGTTCCTCAGGCTTCATATTACTTAATATAATTCAATTTGTGACTTAAGTTGTTTTGTTTTTCCTCCTCTGCTAGTGGTTTTTTGTTTGTTTGTTTTTGAAGATATGCCTATTTTAACTTTATCTTTCCTTTTGTTTTGGTGAAATTTTTTTCACTACCTTTTTTTTTTTTTTTTTTTTTTTCTTTCCGGAACTGGGGATTGAACTCAGGCCCTTGCACTTGCCAGACAAGCACTTATTCTACTGAGCTATTCCCCCAACCCCTTCACTACCATTTTTAAATGGGGTTGAATCATAGTAACATTGTGCCTGAGCAAGAAAGTCACTAGAAGGTAACTTATTAAATCAGAATCTGTACCTTGGGGGCTTATTGGGCACTACAAGGATTGACTGCAGAGTGTGTTGGGCTTCCTACATCCATGGCTGAGATTAGTACATTGCTCACATTTTACATCAGATCCCTTATTTGAAACTTGGTTATGCGCTTAGTAAGTAATTATGTGAATTTCCAAGTTCTAGCAGTATACTGATATTTAGGTAGCCAGATACAATAATACATTGGTTCACAAACTCCTCTGTTTGCAGATAACTCACTTCACAAACAAGCTGTTAGGCAAAATCTTGCTTCTGTTCACAAACTGCATCAGGTGACAGACATGACCACAGCCATCTTCCCCACACAAACAGAGACATAGCCATCTTCCACAAAACTGTAAAACAAGTGAAGTTGGACCACCAAGGTATCATTGTATATGTATCTTTTACTACTTAGAAATTTGTTCATTCTGGCTTAGTCCCAAATTGAAAAACTTGGCTGATACTTTAGATACATTAATTAGTGGGATACAATTTACTTGGTTTATCCCTAGCCTCAACCACACCATGTTTCCATTTTTCTTTTTCCCAGTGAAATATACTATTTTTCAGCCAGAAAAAAACTAGATCTCCGGGGCTGGTGAGATGGCTCAGTGGTCTAGAGCACCTACTTAGAACAAGCTAAAGCAAGCAGAACACAGGGACCATGGTTCAATCCCCCAGCACCACATGCCAGCCAGCCCCGCCCCCTGGTGGGCTGAGCTGGCCACACACACACACACACACACACACACACACACACACAAAATAAATTTTAAAAAAAACCACAAAAAAACTAGATCTCCAATAACATTTTCAGTGCATGTATTTCATGAGAAATGATTTGATTTTGCATTTGCATTTTATTTTGTGAAATGACAGATACCTCTCATGACCAGCTTGATTAATTCAGAGTATAGCTCTTATTCAAGCAGAGGAATTCAGAGTTGGGTAGCTACCTCTGCTAAAGTTGACAGGAGCATTAACCTTTATCAAAGTTGTCTTTAGATACGGTTTTTCATTTACACTATACCTGACCTGTCCATGTCTAATAAGTAAAAATTAATGAGCAACTTAAATTATTGGTTTATCCTAGAAAAGCTAGTCAGATTTACAGCTTTAGTGACTTAAGTTTGTAAAATGCATTCTTCAAAGAAATATAAATATTGTATATAAATGGTTGGCAGCTTTTCATTCCAGTGGATCTTTTCACATCTGCCTTAAAAGTGGTATGTAGAGCTCCATCTTAATACAGTTTCACTTAGTAAAACAGGATTTTAAAATTTAACCAACCACAAAACTACAAATATTCTGCTGGGTCAAAAAGCACTTTATTCTCTGAGTTATACTCAGTTTCATGATGCTTACATAGAGATATTACCCTGTGATTGTTTCTTAACATGGCATGGACTTCATTGAGTCAGTATCATTTGTTTTCTGAATGAAAGTTGTATGAAGTCCTCAGCTAGTTGAGTGTTGTGTAACAGTTGAAAATTATAGTCTGAGGCAGTTTTTGTGAGAAGGATCATTACAGTATGTAACAGTGTAAAAAAACTTATATAGCTTTTAAAAATATGGCCTTCCTAATACTTATTTTCTGAAAAGTTGTTGTTTATCCACTTTGCCTGAATTTTCACCAGTCCTTGCTTTAGAATGTGCTGGCTTCCCCCAGAAAAAGTCCCTAGTGGTTGGAGGAACATCATAGCTCATGCTTGTACATTAAGTTTATATTGTTCTTTTGTGGTCTTTGACTGTGGCTTAAGTCTTTATGTGATTTGTTTCAGTGTTAATGTCTAGAGGCATGTCAGTTGAAGGTTGGTGTTTTCAAGTTTGTTGAAATCACATGGAACTGACAAGTTCATCTGAATACCATTGCCATAGGTTCTGTTTTAGAATTCATTGCAATCTGTTGATTTCTTCATCAAATGCTTATTTTGTTTTTCCTCAATAAATGCTGTCTCAGAGATTTTATTTATGTATGACTTTTTAAACTGAAATTTCTCACAACATTGTGAATTGTATTTCCATTTATTTTTCTTAGTTTGCTTATTTATTTATTTATTTAAGATAGGATGTCGCTATGTAACAGGCTACACTGTGTAGCCCAGGCAGGCCTTGAACTTATGGCTATCTTTCTGCCTCAGGATCCTGAGTACTGGGATTACAGGTGTACATCTCTGTATCTGGCTATTCTTAACTTTCTTTAACCCCAGATTTTATTTCTTTCTATAGCAATTCTTAAAACCATTATACTGCTTGAAAAAAACCAAGTCATTCTGAAGCAAACATATTCATGTTACCTATATATGACAAGCAATAGTGAAATTAAAAATTATATATTAACAAAAGTAAAAACATTTAGATATTTCTTTAAAAAAAACCTATGCATCATTCTCATTTGGAAATAGTAATGTGTGTGGCAGATCTAATGGTGGAGCCTGTGTTGGCTTCTTTTCCTGGCACTAGGAATTATTGTCATAAAACTTTTAGTAGGTTACAAATCTTATGAGAGAACTCATGGAAAATTCAGTATACCACCAGAATTGCCATTTGCCTGTTCTCTTACTGTTTTTAGCCTTTTTTCTGTTTCAACTTCTCGTAAATAACATTAATTTTCATCTTACCTTGGATGTCTATTAAGAATTAGCTTTAAATTTCTGATACAGTTGAATGTTAGGAATAGCTTTCTTTAGTGGCCATGAAATGATTGGTATATTTTCTCCTAAGTAAAAACAAATATAAGTATATATGGATGTCTCTTCCCCTGAAGAATAAGACTTTAGACCTAATTCTGAATAACTTTAACTTTATTCTCAGTTACACAACTAATGGTAAAATTACCCAGCAGTAGCTTCTATAGACCCTGAGAGTCATTAATGGTTAAAGGAAATTAGATTTTCTAGTGCTGTAGAGAGAAATGCCCTTTCAAGAAACCATCACTTGTCTTTTTCTGTCTGATCTTGTACTGAATCCCAATTCAAGACACAAAAAGCAAAGGATGGTCTAGTTTAGCTTCTTTAGTTTTGTGATCATCATTTGGAAATTAAATGTGCTGAAATATGCGTGTCCCCAAACACTGCCCACCTTGCTTGAAATTTTTGTGGATATCATCTGAGAACTATAATGTCAATAAGAAAAAAGATGGCAGAAGCTGGAAGGGGAGCAGTTAGAAGGAATCATTTAAAATTATGAAATCATACCTCTTTCACAGTGCTTCATTATGTCCTCAGTGAACATACCTACAATGTTCTATTTGGCCTACCTAAGGCATTTTGACTTGCAAGTATTGAACTTCAGGAACAAATCAAGTTGGGGCTATGTTGGGCAAGGAATAGTGGGAACATTTTCTTACTGATTTGAAAATTTATAAATCTAAATGAAACAGAAAGGTCTTCGTTTTTAACCCTGAATAATTTTATTTATGCAGTGCTGGGGAAAACAAAAGCTGTCCAAAACGAATCAAAGTTTAATTTGCTAGAATGTTGTTATTCTCAATAGCCTTTGATTTAATTCTTTTTTAATGTATTTAGTACAGAGTCTCATTACACAGATCAGACTCATCACTATGAGTCTGTTTTCTGCTTCCCAAGTGCTGGGATAACAGGTGCACACCACCACGCCCAGGCTCAATT